TCATGGAAGTGGAAAGGAACTAGGTGAAATTAATGAATATTGTATTTAACCCAGGAATCCCAAACACTGTCTTTCAACCTGTAATCCACATAAAAGCTATGAAGAAGCATTCTGTGGTGTTTTGTGTAGACTTACTGGAAGTCTGGGGTGCACCCTCCCTGACACGCACCCCGCGGGGGCTCTGTGGTGGCTGGCAGACAGGAGGCTTGGCCGTGACTCTGTGCAGGGCCACGTGTCATCTGCTTCGCGGTCAGTGACCTGTCTGTTGCCCGATACCCACCTCTGCTCACACCGGCACAGGTGCTTCTGCAGGCCGGGCCCCCGGGGGGAAAACTGCTGCTGGCTTCCGCTGTGTTGTGCCCACGGCGCATAGCCACGCCCGGCACGCAGCCCACGGCTTGGTGCGCACTCACGAGCCAACGGACGGACGGACGCAGAGGTCAGGAGCATTTGCCCTTCCTGGGGTCTCTTCTGTGCCTTTCCCTCCTGCTTACCCTGCCACCGGTGCTGGCCACACCACCTCCTCTCTTCTGCAGACAGACCTACTTCCTGTCGCCCAGGGGAGCGCCAGTCACCTTCCCTGGGATGGAGGTGTGTTCCTGGGCCTGGGGTGCAGAGCCTGGGGCCTGCACGGCGAGGGCGTGGGGGCTGGCACACGGTTAGGGGAGGCCCTGCGGCTTGCAGAGCAGCACCCGGTGGTCAGCCGTGATGCCGGACGTAGCCGCGTGATGCCGCTCAGTGACGGGAGGTCCTGGCACAGAGGCAGAATGATGGAGGGGCCTTTCTTTTGATGCTCCTCGCAGCTTGTATGCAGTCAGACCTTTGGGAGTATTTTGAGTTAAATACAGTTCATTTTGTGTCTGACATTAGAACTTGAAGATCCAGGCCAAAGAGGCTAAAAAGCAGCGTCCTCTTGGGTTCGCTGGCAGCCTCTCAGAAGGAGCAGCCTTGGTGCCACCACAGGGGCTCGGGTGCTCGCTGGCTGGGGACCCCGTCCATGCCTGCGGGTTCCCACTCCCGCACCTGCTGCAGGCCATCATGCCCCTCTGGGCGCACCGTCCACTAGGAGTTCGATTTCTTATTAAATTTGTCTGCTCAACTCTCTGTTTCCCCGGGATGATCGTTTATTTATCAGAAACACACCTGCCGCTGGGACTGTCGCTTTGGTCACTAACAGTAATTATGGTAATAATGATCGAATCTTGGTAATGACTGAATAACAGTGATTGGGGACAAGCAGCAGCGGGGACACGGGCACTTTGCATGTGGTAACAACTCAATGAGGGAGGGATGCTCTTGTCCCCATTTACAGATGAGGAAACTGAGGTACAGCGCTAGGAGGCTTGCCCAGGGTCCCATGACCAATGGAGGCAGGCCTGGGATTTGAACCCTGGTGCTTTAGCAGCATTTGAAAGTGCAGACTTTTTCGCTGACTCACTGGGCTGCCAAGCAGACTCTTCACTGATGGCCACCACGTACCGGCCGTTTTGTTTCAGCGATGCAGGGATGCAAGGGTCTGTGGATGTTACAGAGGAGACAGATGATCCCGTGATAGAGGGCCGTTCGGTCGTGGTGGCAGTGCAGCCGGGGCTTGGGGCTCGCTGCCCCCCTCACTGCTGCCCATGCTCCCAGCAGCTTCTGCAAGGGACCAACCAGACAGACAGCTCTGGGATCATGGGAAGGGACCCTCGCGCTGGAGCCTGAGGATACTGGTGTGTCCCCATTTCATCCTTCGTGGGAGGGTGTACACGCACAGAGAGAAAGTCCTGCTTTGTAGATGGCCACATCCTTCATCTGACTGGAAAAATACAACTTTTTTGGCATGAAGCACAAAACATCGTTTGGTCTTTAACATTAGAAGGCTTCTCTTGGAACCCACCCAGAGGCAAGAGTCCACAGCCGCAGATTTCCTTCTAGAAGGTGTCCGGCACAGCAGAGTTTGTGGTGGTGAGCTGCTGACCCTCAGGCCAAGCCCACGTCCCCGGGGGCTTTCGACAACACCTTTGCCTGCACCGGGGCCACGTGAGTGTGGGCCTCCCTGGGGGACTGGTCAGAGGGAAGACTGCCTCCGACCCACACGCTTGGGATGGATCGTCCGCATGCAGAATCCACGCCGCTCATCTTACTGAGAGGTGCGACAGCATGTCCGGGCCCCTGCGATGCTGGGCCGGCTGTGCCATGCTTGGGCGCGGGTACCAGCAGCTCTCCAGAGCTTCTGGAGGATTCTGACACGTGGATGGGGCTCAGAGCTGCAGGCCTCCCACCGTCCAGGAGGGGCAGCTTCTGCTGCTTGTGGCCATCACGACAGTTCGTGTCACTGTGGACAGTGTGTTAACGGACTGGTGGCGAGCGGCAGGGGCAGGGACCAGAACGCACTCTTGCCGTGGCCCTGCTGACGTGGAGCAGGGTGAGAAGAGCCTTAGAAGGACCCGACTCGTCTGACTTCTGACATCAGTGTCCTGGGCAGACCTTCCTCTGCTTTTTATGTCTGTGGATGGGGCAGAGCACTGCTTGTGGACCTCAGTATCCCCCTAGGTTTGCGGGACTGGGCTGTTGATGGGGCCCCGACTCGGCCCCTCTGCCCCACTGTTGTTCCGCAGGCAGACCCGTCCCCGGGAGGGCAGACCCCCCTGGGATGTGATGCGGTCACGGCTTCATGAGCAATGGCCCTTTACCCGAACGGCATGGGCAATGCAGAATAGCGCATGGCTAACTGCCGGGCCGTGGTTCCCACGTTGGAGACGCCTCTGCCCGGTGCATAAATAAGACAGGCCCTTTTAAAAAAGAAATCTGTATTTAAGGACGCGTTTGGCTGTGTTCTTTGCCTCCCATAAAGGTCACCCGGATAGATTTTTCCTTCTTTAGCATTGCAGGCTGTGAAGCGCTGGGCATTTCTATTCTCCCTCCATCCAGTGAACCTGGGGGACTAAATTAGATTCTGAAATTGAGTGTGCAGGGGAGTCGGTGAGTTACCGTAATGGGAGGGTATTGCTTCTCACCTTGCAAGTAGCGAGGTCATGATAATATGAAGCGAAGTGGATTAAAATAAAACCAAAGGTATTTATTTACGACCTGCTCAGAATTGGATTGGCGTCCGTGTAAGTTGCATCTAATGGTGAAAGACAGCAGATTGATGTTCATCTGTCCCTGGGGACATTCTGCCAGTGAAATTTGCTCCGCAAATTCAATTTAAAGGCCCCCAGAAAGTATCCAAAATGCAAAAGGAAATGGGGTTGAGGAAGGGGATAAAGCAGCCGCGGCAAGCCGACAGCGGAGGACAGCCCTGGTGCGCATCTCGGGGTGGGGGAGGGCTCTGCACAGCTCACGGACCCGAGGTGCCGCGTCACTCCATGCCGGGCCCTGGCTGCCCCTGGCCGCCCCTCGTGGGAACTGGGACCCCATTCTGCAGATGAGGAGCCTGAGGCTGCGAGGCAGTCAGTGGCTGGCCCATCTCTGCAGCCAGATGGCCGCACAGCCAGGGTCTGAGCCCAGACCTCCTGCCAAGTCCATGGCCCGAGTGCTCCCAGTGGCCGGCTCCCAAATGGCGCAGCCACCCCCAGCCTTCAGATAAAGGGCGTGGGGCTCAGGAGGTTCCATTAAGGGCTGGACTGGGATGTGAACGCATCACCTGCCCCCCTCAGCACCCCCTCCTTGTGTCCCCGTCCCTGCCTTGCGGGGCCAGGAGGCTCAGTGGTTGGTGCCTGTGTGAGTCTCCCCGAGCTGCCCCTTTCCAGGCAGGCAGGGTGGGGCAGCCTGAGTCTGATGCCCTGCCCGTCCCCTGTCTTCTGCTGGGACCCTCGGAGGGGCAGCACCAGCACCCTGAAACCCCTGCCACCCTTCAGGCTTACTCAGATCCAGTTATGGGTGGGATGGGAGGTGGAAGGGAAGGCCCTGGGGGCCACATTCTCCAGAACCAGAGCCAGCCGGGCTATCTATGCAGTGTTGGCCCACTTCCTGAGAAGGAGTCTGGCCTCAGGCCTTGCCCTGACCTGATGGCCCAGTCCCCCATTTTTCCTCCTCTGAGACCCCCAACCCGGGAAGCCGTCCTGGCCACACAGCCCTATCCACTCCTGCCAGAGCCCTGTGGGTGCCGGGGCCCGTGTGCCCTGAAACCCACCCCACCCTTGGTGGTGTCGCAGGTTGCTCTGGATGAGGGCCACGGTCCCTCAGACGGGCTGGTCAGGGTGCAGGGCTGGGTGTCATGCATCGCTATGGCCCCGGTCATGTTTTCCTTTCCAGCACTTTCTTTAGTATCCCTCTCTCTGGTTTCTAAACTGTGAGCTCTTGAGACAGTTCCTGTGTCCTGTGTGGGGTGAGCTCAGTGTCCAGCCCAGCGAGCTGAGACATGGCCCACATGGGAGGGCTGGGGTCAGCTAAGGGTCTCTAGCTTGGTCTTCCCTGGAAACACTGAGTATCGACTGAGGGACAGTGACAGGGGCTGCCTGACATGTCCCGCCCCTCCAGTGTGTGCCCACCTGGCGGATACCTGCCCCTGGTGCGCCCAATGTCCCTGCTGAAGGAGGTGGTGCCTGGAGGAGTGTTACCGGATGCACAGAAATCTGTGTCTAAAGTCAGCCCTGGCCGGGGTGGATGGGGGCGCTTTCCTTGTGGATTCTGCAGAGCCTTGGGGGGAGTGGGGGTCCTGGGCTGAGGCAGCGCACTTGCAGCCGGGCCCCTCCGGACCAGCACCGGGACCCTGGAGCCCCAGGGAGCCGGTTCGGTGAGGTCATAGTGTGGGCGGCTCTGCCCTCAGCATCCCAGCAGTGTCGTCCGAAAGTACGCAGAGCCGGGTGAGGGCCTTCCTCCTGGCTGTAGGGGCTCTGGGCCTTTCGGAGTCCGGAAGGGAGGGAACACAATTCGTGGGATCTGGGAGGCCGTAGAGCCCCCTCTGGCTCACCCCCACTGCTGGTCAGTCCCCACCCGGGGGAGCCCCTGGTCTGCAGCCCCCTGCCCCACGGCTGGTCACCTGCTCTGACCCGGGCTTGTCTCTTTTCCCCCAGGAGCTGCTGCTCTTCCTTCAGAACCTGCCCACAGCCCACTGGGGCAACGAAGACATCAGCCTGCTGCTGGCTGAGGCCTACCGCCTGAAGTTTGCCTTCGCGGATGCCCCCAATCACTACAAGAAATGAGCCGGGGCCAGCGCGGCTGGCCTCACCCCACCCCGGGGTGGCGCCCCTAGCGCCCATGGCTGCAGGCCGGTGGCCAAGGAGGGGCCTTGCTGGGCGACCCTGCCCTCCAGGGAGCTGGCCAGGACTGGGCGTCAGGTGAGGGCCAGGGCCTGGCCGGGGGCCGCCTCTGTTTCCTAAGATACCAAAGAGAGCGAGGGGAGGGTCTTGGCCCTTCAGGGGGCCAGGAGCGGGTGGGCTTCTCCCTGCCCTGTCCCTGGAGCATCCTTGCCAAATGCCCGCCTCCTGGAGCCCCCAGGGCACAGTGGCCCGAGAGCCAGACCCTCTCGGAGGGGCCTGCTGTCTGGTGCCAGGGCCAGGAGGAGGTGGTGGTCATCTCATACCTGCTTTGAAATGCAAAAGCCCTATTCTGTTGAGTGAAAGAGAATAAAATGTAGACAAAATAAGAAGTGAATCGTTGCCCTCACCTGTGAAATCTCTGTCCCCACGGGGCTTTTTGAAGTTGGCCTTATTCCTGTAACTGTCCAGCCCCTGGGCTCTACTGTGTCCCTTCTCTCTTGCTCTCTCCTGGACTGGGGACCGCTCTGTGTGTCAGCCGAGCAGCTGGGAGCTGTGGCTATAGCAGGCTGGGGCAGGGTGAGGAGCTGAGCAGCCGCCGTGCTTTTCCAGCCTCTTGAAAGCGAGGACTGCGCCCCCGCTAGCCCGCATGCTGCTCTGCCCAGGGGGAGCTGGGGGGACACACCGCACACGCTGCCACTGAGGACATAGCTCCCTGCACCAGGCCATTGGCACAGGTGGGGTTCAGCCTCTGTAATCGGAGTCCTCGAGGCCCACTGCTTGGCCTCCCCCCACCTCCCAGGTTCCGGAGGGTTACAGAGCTGATGGCTTCCTGCGGTCTGTGGGTCACCGGGGCTGAGCGCCCAGGCTCAGCAGGTCCTGGACTGGCCTGCCTGGGGCTCCGTGGGGCCAGACATGCTTCCACACGCCCCCCGACCCATGCGGAGGTACACCTGTCCCAGTCGCGTGGCCGGCCCCTGCTGACCCCTGAGCCAGGACAGGCTCCTGTCCTCAGCTCCTCCTCCTGCTCCCAGACTTGTGTGTTTGCAAGCACCTCTTGCCCACCGTGTGCCTGTCCTGGGGCAGCCAGGCCAGTGCCCCCACCTCTGCACGCTCGGCATGAGGATGCTGTGGGAAGCCTGCGAACGGGGGGTAGGAATACGTACACATGTGTGATATGTGTATCCTTTTTTTTTTGTTAAAAAGATTCTCGGGTCATTACACGTGGCGTGGAAATCAGCACAAAATACTGTGTAAATGTACGGTGTTCCCAGATCAGCCGAGGGACCGGCCTCAGACCGGCTAGACAGAACTCCCCCAGCCCCGGGGTTGGGGGCTCCTCTCATCCGGCGCCCGGCTGCCCAGCGGCTCTTCTCCAGCCAGAGCGTTGGGTTCCAGGAGAGCTGCCCGCAGCCGCGTGTGGGAAGCCCCATCCTGCTTGAAGCTCTGCCCCCCCCAGGAACCGCTGTCACAGAGCACTCTGCACCAGGCCAAGATGTCGGGTACACAAAACATCTGCCTCTGGAGGCAGTTAATTTTTCAGGTAGGAGGATCGGCGAAGTTAAATGAGGCTCCACGTGTATTTTTCTGTGTCTGTGAACCTGAAATCGAATGCTAGGGCTGTTGACACGCATCCTAGGAGCCTAGCCCATCGATCTGAAAGGATGGAAGGTGTTCTGTCTGGAAAATGATGTGCTGGAATGGGAATAAAGATGCAGTGAATCCCCCAGCCTTGGCCTGATTCAAGGACTCTCCTAAGGGAACGGGGCTGCCCTGGGCATCTTTGGTCCTTGGAGGCCGGGTGACAGCCAAGGGTGGGGGCACTGGGCTGAGTCCTGGCCTTTCCATACAGGCCTGACATGGGGCACAGCACCCACAGTCTTGCTGAAGCTGAGGAGTACCTCTGGGGGAGATGGAGGTGCAAGGCAGAGCAGGAGTCACACTCGGGCTGCACCCCAAACCCTGATTCTGCACGGCTGGGGGTCAGATCCAGGCTGGCCCCTTGTTGGACCATCTGCCAGGCCTGGGACCGGAGGGGCCTCCTTACCTGGCCACACCCAGTCAAGTGCCTCCTGGGACCCAGGACATCCCTGGGTCCCAGCCCTGGGTTTCCCACCCTCCTGGGGTCATTGAAACAAGGCCCTATGAGCCCCAGCTCCTCAGGGCTGCTTCCATGGTGCCCCACGCTGCTCGGACACCCCACATCTGCACATCCCTGCACAGTGGGGACTCCCCAGGGCAGCACTTTGCTCTCTGCCATCTTGCGCTGTCCACTGATGGGGTAGGGTGAGCTTCTGTCCCCGTGGGTGGGCAGGAGATGCCACAGGGTGGAACGCTCCCCTCTCTTCCCACCGTGACCAAGCACCGTGCTGAGCTGGGCTGACGCCCAGACCTTGTTGCCGGCTTGGGCTCGCCGGGTAGGGAGGTGCCGGGTCAGAGCTCAGAGCTGGTGACCACTGGCATTTGCAGCCGTGGTTTGTTGGTGTTTGTGGCCTGGCTGTTGGCTCCTCAGGCCCACGTTGGGGTCCCACAGCCCCCATAGGTGGCTCAAACCCCAGGGGTCCTGAGACGAGCCCCTGACCCCTTAGTCCCGTGGGCCTCACCCTGCCAGGCTACCTGGAGTGGCCTTGCCTGTTGGTGCTGCTGCCAAATGGAAAGTGCCAGAGACAGGTTCATGGGGCGGCCGGGCCCCAACCAGGTCACATGTGCCGGGGAGGGGGTGGAGTGGAGTGATTCGGGCTTTGGTAAGGACTAACTGGTGGGCAGGGCTTCTGTGCTGGTGTTACCTGTGGCTCTGAACCGGGAGAACCCCCTCCTCCCACACCCCATGTTTCAACAGGCTGATTCCATCTCTAATGCAGGGCGAGTTCTGGCCGCATCAAGCCTGGGCTTCTGGGAGCTGCCTACCTTGACCGCGGGCTGGTGGGCCTGCTGTCAGAACCACTGTTCAATGAGGCTTGCTCAAGATGTGGGGAGACACTGCTCCCAGGGTCAGGCAGCAGGGCCCTCCCTGAGCCTCCCCGATCCTGCCCCACCCCAGCTGACCCTCTCCATTTTCCTCTTCTATCTCATGCTCTGTGAGCACCACGGGGTCATGGCTGCTCAGGGGTCCACCCTGCTCAGCTTTGAGGCTTGTCACCCTCGTCCTGTAGCCCGACCGATCTTTAACAAAGGACAGCCAGGGGCTGCTCACAGCGACCGTGCACCAAGGATCTAACCCCTGAGTCCATTTCATTGACAATTTGAGGCTGATTATTCACTTAGGAAAAAAATATACATATCCAAATACTTTCCCGATAATGGATTTAAACATAAAAATTAACATTCACCAAAATGCTCAAAATAGAAATAGATATTTTTAGTAACAGGGAGTGGCAAAAGGCTTTTTGAGCTTGATTCCAGTGACCAAACGACCCAGAGAAAGGCTGATGTACCACGTGCACTGTGGAGTGGCCACGAGGACCCCCAGCACCTGTCCCGGTAGGCAGAGATGAGTGACAGCAAGCTGAGCAAACATTTGCAGCCTGAGTGAGATATTCGTGTTCCTGAAGATGTATGGAGTTCTTGGAAATAACTCTTGGAAACAAAAATGGGCACAAGACAGAAACAGGCAATTCTCAAAAAGGAGGGGCAGGAGTGGTCAGTAAGATGCTCACATCATTAACATTTGAGTGGGAGGCAAGGCCTGAGATGTGGGGCTCCAGCAGCACCAGCTGCCTGGCCTTGGGCTGAGTTTGTGGCGATTCCTTACACGTCAGTGGAAGACCAATATGCTCTCTCTCAGTCTTTATATTTTTCTCCGAAGATCTAGCAATGATTTTTGTTTTTTATTTTTAAACTGAAGTATAATACTCACAGAAGAGGGCGCCCCGCAAATCTAGTGCCCAGTGAATCATCCAAAGCAAACACCCGGGCTCCACAGCCAAGGTCAAGGAGAGCCCCTGGCCCGCACGCGCCCCAGGTCTCCCCGAGCGTGATGCTTTGTGTCTTTCAAAACTGTGTCCTCTAACAGATCAGCACAGGATCTACTTCTGTGAACAACTTACCTTTCCAGCTTTCTGCGTGTGCGGATGTCCGTGTCTGGGGTAGCTGTGTTTTGGTCCTTTCTGTCCTTTGCCCCTTTCCCCCTTAGATAAATGGGTTACAGTTTATTTGGGTGGTTGCCAGGTTGGGGCTGTCACAAACACGGCTGCTCTGAACATCGCGTGTGTGACCCTTAGCGGACACGTGCCCGCCATTCCGTGGGGTGTTCATCGAGACGTGCGATTAAAGGGCTTTATGGTGCTTCTGCCACTCTACAAGATGATGGTGGACTGTTTGCCAGAGTGGTTTCCCAGTTTACATTCCCACTGCAGGCCTCGAGGGCCCTCATCCCCCCACATCCCCACCCACACGGATGACCTTGGCTGCTGGGGGCGGGGGGGTGCCGTGTCATTTCCCTGCACTCCGGCCTCCCTCACCTCTCCCCATGCAGGGCAATGTCTGCCGCAGACAGAAAGAGCCCTGCTTAGGACATCTTGTTATACTAATATCCTAAGTGCTTTCTCATGTCATTAAAATTCTTCAAAAACGCGATTTTAATGACTGCACAATATTCTGTTGCGTGGATTAACATAATTCGTGTATTCCCTGGCTGTACATCAAGCTGCTTCCATTTCTTTCCTGTCGCAAATGTTGCTGTGATCAACACTGATGGTCCTGGACCCTTTTTCATCATGGATTTCTAGGAGAGGTGTCCCCTAACTTTCCGAAGTTTGCATTATCCCCCCGCACTTTTTTTTTTTAGAATGAGAGATAGCACGAGAAGGAAGAGGGTCAGAGGGAGAAGCAGACTCCCCGCTGAACAGGGAGCCCGATGTGGGACTCGATCCCAGGACTCCAGGATCATGACCTGAGCCGAAGGCAGTCGCTTAACCGACTGAGCCACCCAGGCGCCCATCCCACTGCACTTTTATGAAAAACACAACATTAATATCTGTTTTCACTAACTGAAAGAAATCTAGAGAGGATTTTCCCTTTTGTGAAAAGAGGTGAAGAGGGAAAATGGCCTCCAGTGTTGGTTCCACAGCGAGCCAGTTTAGATGCAGCGAGAATGGCATCACCCCACCCATCCTTCCCTGGGACTCCACTCAGCATCCCGGCGCCTGCCGCCAC